AGCAGGTAATATTATCTCGATTTTTCTGATAAGGAAACAGGTTTAGAGAAGTTAGGTGATTTGTCTACTCACATAGCTACTAGCAGAGTTGTGACTTGAAACCAGATATCTGGACTTAAAGCCCAGGTTTTTTTTTTCTTCTATTACTGTGCTGTGGTCCTTCTGTTATCTGTGATAACAGTGATCAAGATACAATAGCACAAACAAGTTTATTCATTGGTCAACTATTTCTTGTGTGCTCACTATGTTCATGCCAAGTGCTATGTCTGATAAAAGGTGAATATGACACTGGTCCTTACCCTCATGGAGACTACTCTGTAGTAGGAGAGATAAGACCATGTACAAAATCAACTACAGTACAAGGCATATGTGTTAAGGATCATAAGTGCAGTTTAGAAAAAGTTCAGAGGAGAAGACAATCTCTTCTGGCTGGAGGATCAGACAGGTCTGTGTTAATACCAGAAAATACCTTAAGTTTTGCAGAGCACTTTACAAATATTACCTCATTTATTCCCACAACAACCCTGAGAGGTAGATATTATTATCCCTATTTTACAAGTGGGGAAACAAAGTATAGAGAGGTTAAGTGACTTAACCCAGGATCATACCGCTATTAAGCTAGTAAGGTTGTATTTGAACTTAGGTCTTCCTGAGTATTCAGTGCTCTATCCAATGTGTTACCTAGCTGCCTGCATTGATGGTGAAGACCTCAGGAGACATTTCTTCTATGCCTTTGGGATGGACTGTCTTTACAAAGAAAAAGCCATGGGAATTGTTGATTTTTGATTGTTCAGTCCATATACATGCAATTAAATGCATACCAGCTAATGTAGGCTATGGACCGAGGGGTGACACCCCCAATCTTTCTTTCAAGTTTGTTGGCAATTATAATTACTTTGTTTCTTTAGAGATAGAGAAAGTCTTTTTATTTTTACTTTTTTTATTATTAGTAAAACGATCTTTGAAACCCTAGAAAAAAGGATTGAAATAAGGCAACTCTCAGTCTGCTTTGCTTCTGCTTAAAGACACAGGTGCCCCTTCTCAGTGTGCAATATATGGTACAGATGAGGTAGTAGAAGGGAGTTTAGGAGGTCAAAATCATTAGACTGGACAACTTCCTAGTTTCTTTTAGGATCTCAGCAGCTAGGTGGCTCAGTGGAAAGAGTGCTAGACTTGGAATCCAGAAGATCTACATTTGAATCCTGTCTCAGATACTTTACTAGCTGTGTGACTCTGGACAAGTTGCTTAACCCCTGTCAGCCTCAGTTTACTCATCTGTAAAATGGAGATAAACAATAATACCTGCCTCCCAGGATTGTTAGGAACAAATGAAATAATATTTGTCAAGTACTTTGCAAACCTTAAAGTGCTATATAAGTGCTACTACTAGTACTTCTACTATTATTATATGTCAGGTCTTTCTAGTGCATTGTCATTTTGTTGTAACAAATTCCCAATATATCTGCTACACTCATTTAGAAATGCTAAGTACAAAAACTATTATATGTCTTACAAAAATTATACATTAGTTAACAAGGATTTATTTAGGGCTGACTGTGCCAGGAATAGCTATGCTAAGTGCTGGGGATACAAAGAAAAGCAGAAACATGGTCCTGGTACTCAAATAGCTCACATTCTAATGGGGCAGATTAAAAATTGTACTTAAAATATATATATACTGTGTAAATGGAAGGAAATCAAAGATGGCGGATGATTTTTGGACTATTCGTGTTTCTCCTTAATTCCACTAGTGTAGACAATTGAGTATTAACTACATAGGATGTATGGTGGCTGGGGGAAGAAGGAGATTTTTGGTTTTCTTTCCAGGTATGAGTCCTAAACCATCTTCCAAATCAATCAATTTATTAAGCATATCACAAGCATTTATTAAGCCACTACTATGTGCCAGGCAGTGTAACATTGCTGAGTATACAAAAACAAAAATGAAATAGCCTTGCTTTCATCTATGGAAACAACATGCAGGCATACACACACACACACACACACACACACACACACACACACAATAATACAAGGTAATTTAGGGTGAGGAGATACTAGCATTTAGAGAGATAATGAAAGGCTTGTTGAGCTTTGAAGGAAATGAGGGATTCTAAGAGGTAGAAGAGGTGAGGAGAGACTATATTACAGATGTACAAACTTGAACACAGAATAAGAATAATGTACAATAAGCCTGTTATGGGATTTAAAAGACTGATATTTCACCATTGAGAACTCACAGTGGTTTATTGGGTTGAAGAGGGAGATGGCCAGACGTGTGCATTTAGAATAATACTATGCCTTTGTCTGTATGATAGACTTTTAATAATTTTATCTTTTTCATACTCTAGTTTAAAAAATAGCTATAATGCTATCCTAGCCATAGACTAGAAACCAACTTTATTTTTGCAATGCCATTCTTAAATTTCACTGAAAAAAATGTTCATTTTTGGATTGAGAAATGTCAACACCTTCCTTGGAGAAAAAAATACATTCTTTT